GGCTCCCTCTATCAAGATATCTCTTTCATTGCTCTCCCTCTCCATCCCTCCCCTAACTAGACCATCCTGATCCCTGTAGGGAAAAGGGGCCAGCCAAAGAAATCCACCCTGGCCCTGAACCCAGAGCCAGTGAAAAAAACACACCCTAGATCTGAGACCTGACTCAGTGAAAGAAACACTTTGTCCCCCCTGAACCCAGAACCTAAGAAACATGCCCTGACTCTGAAACCAGTGCCAAAGAAACACACTTTGTCCCTAGAATCAGAGCCAGTGAAAGAAATATGCCCTGGCCTTAGAATTATAGCCAAAAAGCTGAAAAGGGCCTGTGGTAATATATTGTGTACCCCAATAAAGTTTGCCCAGGGATCAAAGGACAAAGCCTGCCACTATATTAAACATAGAGGTCAGGCAGTGGTAGCACACGCCTTTAATCCTAGCATTTGGGAGGCAGAGATCCATGTGGATCTCTGTGAGTTCCAGGCCAAACTGGGAACAGAGCCAGGCATGGTGGCACACACCTTAAACCCAGCACTAGGAAGGAAGGAAGATGGCAGGGCACAGAAAGGCATATAAGGCGTGAGTAAACAGGAACTCGCTGTCTTGAGGCTGAGGATTTCATAGAAGTAAGGAATGTGGCTGGCTTGTTCCGTTTCTCTGATCTTTCAGCTTTCACCCCAATACCTGGCTCCAGGTTTTTTTATTTTTTATTAATAAAGTATTTTAAGATTGGTGTTACAAGGGCCAGTAAAAGAAAATACAGTTTGGTGCTGCGACACGCATGTCTGGAGCACAAAATCTGGCAAGGGATGCCGAGGTTAAACAGCACTCTGGACACCCAGTCTCAGTTCATCAGGGAAGCAGCTCTCTTTATTCGTACCAACATGGGCTTATATACCCCTCCAACAGCAGGGGTCAAGGAACAGCTACTCTGTATCCAGAGGCAAGCCGACCTGCTTTCCAAACAGGAAAAACCACGGGGGAACTGATCCCCAGCACCCTCTGGAACCCAACTGCACATTTTCCACACAAACAACTTAACTGGGACAGGACAAAAAAGGGCATTTCAAATTAAGGTAGCAAACTTATTGCTGCCGACAGTTTGGCCCTAAAAACAGAGCCATCTCTGCCTCTGACCTGTGGTGATATTTTATTTGTGCTGAAATGTGATATTTTATTTGTATGTTAATAAATAAAGTTTACCTGGAGATCAGAGGTCACATAGCGAGCCATAAACAGAAGTCAGGCAGGGGTAGCACATGCTCTTAATCCGATCACATGGCAGGTAGAGTTTCTGTGGGGTCAAGGATACAGCCAAGGGTGGTGACACATGCCTTTAATCCTAGTACCAACCATAGAGACCTGGAAGTCTGTGTAGACAGGGAATGACAAGGAAGTGATGTGGCTGGGCTTAGAGCCAATGAGAAGGCAGAACAGGAAGGCAATAAAAGCACAGGTTAGACAGGAAGAAGGTCTCTCTCTCTCTGTCTGGGGAAGCTACAGTGTGGTGGTAAGCTCAGGCTAGTTGTGGCTATTCACTATTTCTCTGATCTCTTCAGCTATTACCTCTGTATTTGGCTCTGTGTTTCTTATTTAATAAGACTGTTTAGAAATTCGTCTACACTGACCAATGAAACCAACTAATCCCTGAGCAGGAAAACTAAACAATCCCTGAGCAGAAAATCTCCTCCCTGGAGAGACTCTGCACCTAAGAAGCCCT